AAGAGAGAGAGGGAAAAAACAGAAGCAGCAGCAACACTAATTTTACCAGATCCTCTATGAACTGAATTTTTAAAACTTGCATTTCAAAGGGATTTGGAACTACTTCCTAATTCACTGAGCTGCTATTTTGCAAACTCCACTTGATTCCTGAGCTTATCATGAATTTTATGAATTTTGTATTTATACACCAGGGCTCTTCCAAGTGTTACCTTTAAAAAGCAAAAACAAAACCAAAGTGAGACTTTTTCCTTCTCTCTCTCTCTCTTTTTTTTATTTATTTTATTTATTTATTTATTTTTTGTCTTTTGTCTTTTTTCTGTGTCCAGCAACGGATCGCAACCCTCAGTGTTGCCCCCGCACCAGACCAGGGACCGGCAACGGGATCACAACCCTCGGCGCTGCTCCCGCGCCTCGCTCAGCCAGTGAGCGGGAACCGGTCTGTATGTGGGATCCGAACCCTCGGGCGGGAGCGCCGCTGCGCTTCCCAAGCGGCGCACTATCCAGTGCGCTACCGGGCCGGCCCGTATCTTGAATTTTTAAAGAAAACCAACTTTGTTCACATCTGCATTTCTTTTTAGCCTTACCTTTTCCTTCACAGTTTCTTCCTGAGTGACACTCTGGCTTTCATTTCCTCACCTTTCCAGTGGTCCTCAACCGTGCGGGGCGTCTTATCCTTGCATGTCTTCAGTTCAGCAACCTCTCCTCGGTTCCCCCAACACAAGTCACGTCACAGATTCCCACCTGTTTCCTGAAGTTTTCTCTTCCTTTGACTTCCTTGACCACAGCAACTAGTCACCTAACCATCCGATGGGCATCCCTGACTTGACACCTCCACATTCATAATTCCATTTATCAGTACCTCTCCGACCCCAGTTCTCTGTCCTTCTCAGTACCACATATGTCCAGATACTCATGCCAGAAACCTCAAAGTCATCAAAAATATTTTTATATGAATAATACTGAAAGGCCTAAAAATGGTAGGTAAATCACTTTGTAATCCCATTGCTCGAAAAATTACACAAACATGGATTTGCAGTTTTGACCTAGATGGAACACATACCTCCCTATCTCTCCCACTGACACAACTTAAAACCCTGTACGAAATGTGTAAAGTGAGTATCGGAGAACTCAAAGGTGGAAAAGAGCTGGTGGACCAGGGAGGGAGACCAGGACCCTAGCGAGGACTTGGCAGCACTTCCTCACCCCACCAGTGGTGCTACCAGCAACCCTGCAGGCCAGAGCCCCTGTTACTCTCCCAGCCCTGCTCCTACTGCTCCCTGCCACCACCTGCTCCTACAGGACAGAGCTTGTTTGACAGTCCTGGCCCTACTCCAGGTGAACACCAGCAACAAAGCAGCAGACCCCTCTTGGTAGCAGCAGCCCTGCAAGATGGAGTTGTTTTGATTCTCTCATCCCTATGCCAGGCAAATGCCGGCAACAAGGTAGAACTGCCTGCCTTGGTGGCAGTGGCAATGGTGTCCCTTCTTGTGGCAAAACTCTTAACTCTTTCAGCCCTACTCAGGAATCAATAGTGAAGTGGCCCACCCCTCACCCATGCTGAAGGTGATGGCAGCACCTTCTGCAGGCTGAGCTCCTTTAACCCTGCCAACCCTACAAAAAGGGAGTACCAGCAAAGAGGCAACTGCCTCCCCCACAGCAGCATGAATAGATTAGAGCCCTTTTAATTCTTCAGACACTACCCCTTGAGAGTCCCAGTAGTGAAGCCCCTCATCAGCACAGACAGCAGCGACGGTGGTTGGTGGTCCTGCAGGCTTCTTTCTCTTGCTACTCTGCCCTTTGGTGCTATAATGCAGAGAGGCTAAGCCTGTCTTTCTAGCCAGGGAACCGTGGTGAATGGAAACCACAGAAAGAAGAAAGCTGAGCTGGGTCCTTTAAATCTGTGTATGAAGTCCTGGGCTCAAATCTGAGCTGCACATGCATGAAACTTGACTGGAACCAGCACAGCAAAACCTTTGAGGATTTTAATGGGACTGAGTCTGAGCATAATATTCAAAGTGTCTAGGATACAAATTAAAATTTTCCAACATATAAAGAACCAGGAAACTCTAAAGAATTTTTAAAGAAAAAGGCTAGCAACAAATACAAACCCTGAGATTATTCAAATGTTGGAGTTATTAGAAAAAGACTTTAAAGCAACTGTTATACCATGTTCCAAGAAGTAAGAGTGAGCACTCTTGAACAGAATGATGGAAATCCTCTGCAAAGAAATAGAGGCTATAAAAATTAGAAATTTTAAAACTGGAAAAGCTGGAGTAGCTATGTTAGTAACACACAAAGAAAACTTTAGAAAAAGCAGAATTATTAGGGATGAGATGGAAAATTACATAATGATAATTTCAGTAATACTGGTAAATTGATAATAGTCAGTTTGCCAAGAATGCATAGCAATCCTAAACATATATGCTCCTAATAACAGAGCTTCAAAATACATGAAACAAAAACTGATAGAACTGAAAGGAGAAATAGACAAATCCATAGTAATATGTAGACTTTAGCACTCTTCTCTTAGTAGTCAAGAAAAGTAGCAAATAGAAAATCAGGAAGTATACAGAAGTCTTGAACAGTATCATCAACCAACTTGACATAATTGATATTTATAGAACACTCCACCAACTATAGCAAGAACACACATCTTTTTTTCAAGTGCACGTGGTACATCCACAAAGATCATCTAAACAGCCCTTATTAAATTTCGAAGTTTTTTCTCTGCCCTATCAAATTAAACAAGAATTCAATCACATATCTAAAAAATATCTGGGAAGATATCTGAAAAATCATCAAATATTTGGAATTAAACACAACATCACTAAATAATCCATAGGTCAAAGAAAAAGTCTCAAGGAAAATCAGAAAGCTGAATTAAAATGAAAATACAACATATCAAAATTTGTGGAATGCAGATGAAGTGATACTTAGGGAAATTTATAGCATTAAATCATTATATTAGAAAGGAGAAAGGTCTCAAAACAATAATCTAAGCTTCCACACTAAGGAACTAGAAAAAGAAGAGCAAACTAAACTCAAAGCAAGAAGAAAAGAAATCATAAAGATAAAAGCAAACATTAATGAAAATGAAAACATAAAAGTAACAGAAAAAAATGAATGAAAACAAAAGATGGTTCTTCAAAACAACCAATAAAATTAATAAATCTCTAGCCAGGCTGACCAAAAAAAGACACAAATTACCAACATCAAGGAGTATCACTACTGACCCCACAGACATTAAAATGACAAGATAGAATACTATGAATAATTCTATGCACATAAATTTGGCCAACGAGAAGAAAATCGCCAATTCCTTGAGAGACACAAACTATCAAACTGACAAAGAAGAAATAGATACCTGAATAGTGTGTATCTGTTAAAGAAATCAAGCCTCCAGTTTAAAACCTTCCAGAAAAGAAAACTCCAGGCCCATATAGTTTCACTAATGATTTCTACCAAACATCTAAGGAATGAATAATACCAGTTATGCACAATCTCATGCAAAAACGAAAGAAGAGGGAACACTTCGCAACTCATTTTGTGAGGCCAGCATGACTGTGATACCAGAATTAAAGACAGTACAGGAAAACTATAGACCAATATCCCTCATAAATTTAGATGCAGAAATCCTTAACAAAATATTATCAAATTGTACATTGCAACCAAATGTTTCTCCAGCATAGGAACGAACATCCATAGGCAAAAATATGAACCTTGACCTAAGTCTCACATCATATCATATACTACAAAAATTAACTCAAAAGGGGTCATGGACTTAAGTATAAAATGAAAACCGTGACATCAAAAGATGATCTGTAAAATGAAAATCTGATAAATTGGACTTCATTAAAATGTTTTCTTTGCAAAAGACCTTGTTAAGAGCATGAAAAGACAGACTACACACTTCAAGAAAATATATGCAAAACAATATCCAATAAAGGATTAATATGTGGAATATAAAAAATATTCTCAAAACTCAACAGTAAAAAAGCAAACCAATTAGAAGAGGGGCAGAAGAGGCTCTTCGCTCTTTTCATTTCGACAGACAGCTGCCTCCTCTAGTTCAGTGCCGCTGTGCCCGTGACACATGAAGGTTGGAGTAAACAGACTTGGCCATATTAGGCACCCCGTCACCAGAGCTGCTCTTAACTCTAGCAAAGCAGATATTGTCACCATCAGTGACCCCTTCATTGACCTCAAGTACATGGTCTACATGTTCCAGTATAATTCCACCCATGGCGAGTTCCATGGCACAGTCAAGGCTGAGATTGGGAAGCCTCCTCTCCATCCCTTTCATCTCCATCTTCCAGGAGTGAGATCCTGCCTACATCAGTTGGGTGATGCTGGTGCTGAAGATGTTGTGGAGTCCACTTGTGTCTTCACTACCTTGGAGAAGCTGGCACTTACTTGAAGGGTGGAGCCAGAAAGGTCGTTATCTCTGCCTCTTCTGATGCCCCCTTGTGATGGGTGTGAACCACGAGACCTACAAAAACACCCACACAATCGTCAGCAATGCCTCCTGTACCACCACTGCTTAGCACCCTTGACCAGGGTCATTCATGACAACTTTGGTATTGCAGAGGGACTCGTGACCTTAGTCCACACTGTCACTGCCACCCAGAAGACCATGGATGGCCCCTCTGGGAACCTGGCATGACAGGCATGGTGATCTCCAGAACACCATCCCTGCATCTATCAGCACTGCCAAGTCTGTGGCAGGGTCATCCCTGAGCAGAATGGAAGCTCACTGGCATGGTCTTCCACATCCCCACACCAATATGTCAGTCGTGGGTCTGACCTACCATCTTGAGAAGGCTGCCAAATATAAAGACATCAAGAAGGTGGTGAAGAAGGCATCGGAGGGACCCTATAGGGCATCCTGTGCTACACCGAGGACCAGGGTGTCTCCAGCAACTTTAACAGTGACGTGCACTCTTCCGCCTTTGACACTGGGGCTGGCATTGCCCTCAATGACCACTTTGTCTAGCTCATTTTCTGGTATGATAGTGAATTTGGCTACAGCAACAGTGTGGTGGACCTTATGGCCCACATGGCCTCCAAGAACCCCTGGGACCACCACCCCAGCAAAAGCATGAGAGGAAAAGGGAGACGCTCAGCTGCCCCAAATCAGTCCCCCCAACATGCTGAGAATCTCTCTTTCTCAACACAGTTTCCATTCCAGACCCCTGAAGAAGGGGAAGTTTCTATCCCAGACCCCTGAAGAAGGCCTAGGGAGCCCTACCTTGTCATGTACCATTAATAAAATCCCCTGTACCCAGCCAAAAAAGAAAATGGGCAAAAGACATGAACAGACAATTCCCCAGAGAGAATATTCAGATGGCAAAGAAGCACATGAAAATATGTTCAACATCATTAGCTACGAGGAAAACACAAAAGCACAATGAGATACCACTACACAGCTATTAAAATGGCCAAAACAAAAAATATTGATAATACTCTGTACTGGTGAGGATGCAGAGCAAATGGAGCTCATTCTCAGTAGAACGTGTCTCGTTCTGCACTCCTGGTGGGAATGCAGAACAGTCACTTTGGAAAACAGTTTGGCACCTTCTCATAAAATTAAAAATATACTTTCCTTATGCCCCAGCAGTCCCACCTCTAGATATTTATCCTAGATAAACAAAAACTTATATCCACACGAAAGTCATGCATCAGTGTTTATAACAGCGTTTTTCATAATCACCAAAACCCAGAAGCAACCCAAATGTACTTCAGCTGGTGACGGGATGAGCAAACGGTGTGTCCATGCAATGGCGCTCTACTCAGCAGTGAGGGAGTGAACTCCCGAGATGCACAGTAGCCTGGACGAATCTTCTGCGTGTGTGCTCAGTGAGTCAGTCTCAGAGACTAGAAACTGAATTTCTCCATTTATGTGACATCTGAAAGAGGCAAAAATAGAGGGGCAGAGAACATCTCAGAAGTTGCTGGGGGCTGGGGGTGAGGGAGGGTGTGGCTACTAAGGAGCGGGCTGAGGGAATTCTTGGGGTGTGGCCGTTGTTCTGTACCCGATGTGTGACCACTGTTCCAAGAATCTAAGCATGTGATAAAACTCATATAGAACGGTACAACAAAAACAGTGGACTTTACTGTATGTAAATTTAAAAATAATTTTTGAATACACAAACAAGTGACAGTGGCCTCCTCTCCACCCCTTCTGAACCTTTCTAATCCCACTCCATGGAGGGAACCCTACTGACAGATGCTTCCCGACTCTTTCCCACGCACGTGCAGTCACAACCACGCAGTGTTGACATGCAGATATAGGCACATGGACCCTTTTTTAAAAAAAAATCACAAAGATGCTATACATACTGGCTTGCAGTTTGCTGTTCTCGTGTCACAGTAAGGCATGGGCGTCTTTGCTGACCTCATTCTTTGTAAGGGCTGCGCAGGATGTCTACTGTGTTGTACTTAACCGTTCCCCTCCTGAAGGGCATTCTGCTTGTTTGGGGTTTTTTCCTCTTGCTGACAGTGCTGAGGTAACCGTTCTTGTCCACTCGATGTATTCACACGATTGTTTCTCCAGGATAGACTCCTAAAAGTGGGCTTTCTGGCTGACAGGG